CCAACGCAGTGCCTTTTTTTTTACTGTCCCACAGCACTGCCAAAACGCAATCAATAGGACTTTAGGAAAACTGGGTGCAATAGTGCACACTTTTTACTGACCCACAATCGATAAGAACTGTGAAAAACAGTGCCATGAGTAAATATTGAAGATTCACACACACACACATACACACAGATTAAAAGTGCCTCTGGACACAGGACACAAGGGGGTCGTTTGGAACCGACTTAGATTACCTTGAAAAACCACCACAGGTTCCTGCTGCAACTGTGATTGATTCATTGAAGTGAATTAATTAACAAACCCTTTAACTAATGAATCAATTAGGCAATTGATTAATGTGCATTACCCCTCTGGGTTATACTGACCATTAAAGATAACCTGTGCTCAATTTAAATCGCTTCACAGCAGATTATATGCAGAGGAATGCTTGGCTTACCTGTGTGTACCACTGCTGTGAGGGATTTGACATCGCTGAGGATTTGCCAAGTAAAACACGGTGATCGTGACATTGCTTGTGTATGCTAAAGGAGTATTACTGCAGCATTAAATACACGCATATTATCTTTGTGTCACTTGAGCCTAGAGCTGTGCTTCAAGGCTGAGTTCCCTAAAATCCTTCCTTTCTCCAGATTAATAATAGATGCTTAAGAAGGAAGAAATACTTAATGATTACACTTCTGCCGCTGTGTCTCTGAGTGATATTCAAGCCAGACTACACTCCTGCCGCAGTTCACTCTGGCCTTTGCTGTAATTAAACAATCTACATCTTTTAGATTCAGGTGATGGCTGGCAGACGGCTACGCCTCTTAACGACTGTGCCGTGAGTGCATACAGCATTCTGCTTCTCAAGCACAAACTGAATTAATGTTCTGATGGAAAAAATGAAAACACGGCAGTCACAGATGGCACAACGACATGATATAGCTGGACAGAAATCTCTGCAGCAAGAAAACAGGAAGACAAAATGATATAGCAACAACAACGAGGACTGTCAATACAAACAGCAGCACTCCTTACAAAACCATCCATTGTTTGATATCTTTGGTTCATCCAACAAATCCACAGTGATAGATCTGTAAAAGATGTGATGTAGCTACTGTTCACTGGCAGGGGTCACGTCTTGAAGGCTGCAAACAAAGGCCATGTTGCTTCTGAGACATTGCAGTGCAGTGGCCTTTGTCTTGCAGGGGCACAAGCTTTGAGTCGAGAGCTTTGGAAAGGTGACCTGATTAGACATTGTTCCACAAGGACCTTTTCAAATAAGCATCATCTGATGAGCTCGCTTGTGAATGGTAAAAAGCAATTTCTGGTTACTCACAAGCTGCATTGCTGTTCATAAACATGCTGCTCAGTGAAATAACAAAAAAGTATGACTACAGAATTATATTTCGTTCCTTTTCTCCACCTCTTTTTCTTGAGCGAAACAGAAACTAATAGACGTGAGGAGCCTCTATTTTGAAAGTCAGGTCTTAAGACATGGCAGGGCTTCCCTTTCTCCGGGAGCAACTTGTGTCCATGGCACCAAGCATTTGCCACAGCTTGACCCAAATCTGCCTGAGGCTCCTCCGAGCAGAGCTGCCACGCCACAGACTGTCATTCTAATCCATTTCTTTTTCTTTTCCTAAGAGGATCACTTTGACTGGGTGTCTGTCTGTGGCAAATGAAAACTGATTTTGGTTGTCTAATGTCAAGCGCAGTGTATAAATACACATGTCTGTCACTTTGGCCCGCTGTGGCTCACCCTGTGGTTTCACCTGAGGATCAATAACTGCAGTCGTCAGGCAGACTGGTGGTCGAGGAGCGACGAGAGGCCACTGAAGCGTGCAGATGTTAGTTATATGAATGAATAAAGAGAGAGAAAGTACAACGATAATCCAGTTCAACTTGTTATTGTCACAGAGGCCTTTTAGGTGATACGCCTCTCTGAAGTGTGGAATAGGAACAGTGTCTTCTAGCAAAATGGGTACAAGTAAAAAATGAATTCAGTGAAAGGTTTTACAAGGGATTTTCTTTAGGACACCACGTGTCTCTAAGAGCTGGATTCTAAGTCGATTTGACATCAAAGCATTTATACCAAAGCACTTTTCCAACAAAATGCTCATTGGTATATGGTGATCAATCATTCAAGACTATTTGATTAATCTCTTCCATAGCTCTGGGCCTTTCTTTCTCATGATATGCGATACTTAATGGCATTATATTCCATAAATAAGCTTTTTTACAGAGAGGAAAATGTTTAAAAATTTCAACATATTAACAATAAACCTCCAATAAATTCCCTGGTGCTAATCTTCACACAACTCCCCAACTTTATTGATATATTACAAAAGGACCACAGGCCATTGAGGTTCTAAAAGAAGCTGCTCTCCATTACTTTAATTGCAACCCATGGGGTGCCTCGATTTCATGTGACAAATTAATTTATAACACTGAGTAATACGTGGTTATCTCTTCATTATTTTTTATCTAGATTGCCCTAGGTTCCATCAGTGGATTCATGCACCCCCCCCCCAAAAAAAACTATTCCATGAACCTGTCAGGCTCTCAATTGCCACGTGACAAATATCTCGGCCAATAAAGAGCAAAATGGGATTTGCTCCATTGCCTGAATTATTGAAGTGGACAGTGTGAGAAATTTATGGTGCAAAAATCATCCACATTCCTTATGCATTGTTTTACGTTTCCATTCCCAATACCCCCTTACCGCATCCTCATTTCTCAGAGCACGAGATCCCATGTCACATTGCACAAGACGAGCTGACTCAATCAGGTGTACAACCCCCCTCCAAAATACACTCGCTTTGCGTTATTCGGCTAACGAACGGGCTGGCACAGGGGGGACATTTTGTTTCTCTTCTGAGCGCTGACAAAAATCCCAATCCTGGATCTCTAGCTATAGCTAGCCTTCCCACCTTTGCTTGTATGATCATAACTCAGGATTTGTGCTGACAGGCTATCTTCATATAACATACCACCTGCATACACATCTGCACCAACAGCACACACCCACGAGAAGGTTAAGACAGAGAAGGTGATCAGTCTGTGACATTATAAAGAGCAGCATAAAAATAAAATGTCTTATTGGAACAGGTTGTGTTGCACATCACTGATTCTTATTTAGGAACATCTGAGGAAAGATTAAATGGGTTAAAAGGGGTCTATTCTTTTGTAGGCCTCTTGTGCATGGCTTTCATTATCCTCACCCCAAACGACTTTCACTAACCAGTTCTTTGAATTCATTTCATCAGTTTGTGCTATTAGCCTCTACCGCTGGCTTTGACCTTGGTCATTCTCGTAGACTAAATTGAGGAAATTCTCACCCCTCCTTTGGTGCCTTTCTCCCCTGCAGCTCTCTCTACTGGATTTCAATAAAGACATTAAAAACCCCAGTGAATTCCAAACTGTGCCTTCTTGCCACAGAGTGCCCCCCCCCTCCCCCGAAAGTTAAAGGCTATACGGTGTCAGGTCCGAAAGCAAAGAAAATGCAGGCTTTGGGAAAAAAATACCTAGGTGTAAAAGCACAACATGATACAGACAAACAACGCAGCGGTGAAGGTCAAAAATATTGCCTTGCCAGTCAACAGGCTTGACCGTGCTGACAGCCTGAATCTAATGAGAGTCCCTCCGTTAACACAGCCATGAGCAGCATTTTAGCGTACCGTTAGGTGGCCATACAATCCTCTTTGTGACCTCTGCGGAAAAGGCTAGCATGCCACAGCAAATTAAAAATCCAAAAGGAAGGCTTTGGGACATGTGCCAGTACAGAATCCTGAACTCCCCTTTGTCTCCCATTTTGGCTGACAGACAAGTTTTTTTTCTTTTCCCTCTCTCCTTTCCTTTCACTAATCCTGGGCATTCTCCGACCACAAAGTGGCCATGGACTTGCCACAGCGAAGAGTGTATGCCACTGCTTGACCTGAATATTTGCCCAGGGCCAGAGGCAGGGAGAGGGGTGGGGGGTGGCAGGCCATTCCAAGCCACGCTTCTTTAAAAACCAGCACAATGGAAACCCACGACCATTCCTAAGGGCCAAACAGGCTCTGCTCGCCCCAGGGTATACATGTTTTAAAGGGGATATTAAGTGCAGTTTTCTGTGGCAGGTTCATGCAGTACAATAATTCCCTGAGTTGCACCATTTGACTTTCATAAGGAGTTTAAGCAGTAAGTGTGCTCACCCCCTGCATGAAGATCTCCCAGCAGCACAGGTACAATTTGTATTTATCATGTTAGACTGTAGGTGGAATTAATAAGGAATCAAACACGTCAGTTCTAAAGGATCTTTATCCAGCTGCATGTCAGCAAGTGAAACTCCACCATGACCAGCAACCCACCGCTTCACTGCAGCCACTTCCACAAGAGGCTGAGCACCCCATACAGCATGGCAGAGCTGACAGCCAGATTGTGGACAGTGGATGATTGAGCCTCCCCTGGAGAAGTGTGACTGATGATCGGAAGATGATTTATCCAGCTTGAGCATGAAAAGGGGGCAGAAACACAATAGAATGTAAACGGAGAGACATTAGAACCGCTTGACCTCAACATTACCCTTAAGCTAGACTCTAGTGCCATCTATTGAGAACGTTTACAACAAATCAGCTCTCCACACAAACAGTTAGCTGATTATTTGAATGCTGCTGTTCTTCCCACTGCACTGCTTCCACTTATAACTTTGATTATCCAAAAATTGATCGGTCGATTATCCACAGCTGGAGGACTTGTTGGTGAGGGGGGGGGGAGAAAAAGACGCATGGTTTGGATAATCAGAGCAGAGCAAGACAACGTGTGCTTCATACAAATGAGTCTGCTTCAGTGTGGTTTGAGAATGGATATTTTATTTAACAGCTACCAAAATGAGGGAAGTCGATTATTTGACTGTGGTTGCGCCAAAAGCCGCTGGAAGAGCTCCGCGTGTGCGTATTATTGGTGCGCAAAACTTAAAGGAAATGTGTTGGCGCATTGGAGCAGCATAAAAGTGAGCGTCGGATCGGTGGAGTTACCTTCTTTGAGCAGGCGGGAGTGGATGATGAGGAGGAGAAAGCAGCAGATCGCCGCTCCGGTCAGTGCCCACGCAACTCTGAGAAGCTGCATCCTGGCGTGGGAGGCTTCGTGGCGGACCGAGGGAGCTGTGCAAGCGGGAGAGGGAGAGAGACCGCTCCACCTCAGCTCTCAGACACGCACTGGCTCATATTCTGTCCACTGTGGAATCACGTATTCATCCCGTTATTCGTGCGGAAATCCTCACTTGGATAGTCCGGTTCTGATGTGGTAAAAAACAAAATAGAGGGCTGGGATCCGTGAAACAACAAGAAAAATGTATGCGCGCTTGCTTCGCCCGCAGGTGCGTCAGAGTGGCTCCAAACACAGGGGGGGAGGCGATTAGCCCCAGATCACCGACTGAAGGGCTGCCATCCTCGCTCGCACCACTTCTCCCCTCTTCTTCTTCTTCTTCTTCACCCGTCAAGAGTCTCTCAGCACACGGTCACTCGCGGCAGGTTCGGCGGGAGCGGCGCTGCGCCTCCTCGGTGCTGCTCCGTCTTCGAGTGCGCACGGCGCGGTTCCACGGCGATGCGGCGCGCAGATGATCACCGCTCCCCGCTGCATGTTACGCACATCGCTCCCATTGCTGGAGAGGCAGAGGCAAACACTGCCAAGCAAGTCGCCTCGCAGCTCTCGTTTTCCCTCCCTCTCTCCCTCTCGCTCTCTCTCCCCA